CCAGCCTCTCTCGCGTGGCTTTGTTCCCAGTTTTTTTCAGCATGGCCTCCATCTCCTCCACCACCGCCCGGTGACCAGCAGCGTTGTGGAAGATGCGGATGGCCCGGTCCCCACACGACACCAGGTAGCGGCTGCTGGTGTCAAAAGCCAAGTCTGTTACGCACTGCCCGTGCACGGCCAGAAAGCGCTCCTCCTCCTCTCCTCTCCTCGTGTTGTACACGACAATGTCCGTGCCGCTGGAGATGGCGACGACACGAGCATCGGGGGACAGGGCGATGCGGCAAGGCTCCGTGACCTCGCACTTCCCTGTCAGGAGCAGGTATGGATCCTGTTGCTTTTTATATTCCACATCTGTGTCCCAGAATTTCCACGTTCCGTCCTTCGAAACTGTTGCCATCCTGCAGCCAGGAGACAGAGCACAGGTGAGCGCAAGGAAATCGAGCAGCACCTCTTCCCCTGCCACATCTGGGAACCAGGAATCCTTTCTGGACAAAGAGCTCTTTCGGGAAGTGTGAGTCTGTACACACATACAGTCCTTGTCCCCTTTCCAAAGGACGGGTAGCAGTCATCCCCAGGAGGAAATCCATGGGGAAGATGCAAGTGGAACGAGCCAGTGAGGCTGGCTCATTCCGCCTCGGCTCCTACGAGGGCGCGCAGGGCAGCATTCCCCCACCCCTGCACAGGCTGCTGGCGTACACTGGAAGGGGTGAGCTCATGTTTCCCAAGGGCGAGCTGTTTTCCACTTCAGGCAGTGGATAACACACACTTACCTCCTTGAGTCGTTGGAGAAGGAGAAGGAATGTATGCCAGCAGTGTGGCCTTTCAACTCAAAAGCCCTGGCCACCTCCCGGAAGTCTCCGTTCTTGCCAAAACACACCTCCCACACCTTCACATCGGGGGTAAAGCCACAAGATGCCACAAACCTGGGTGAATGGACAAGCAGAGACACAGTATCTATTACAACACGCCTGCTTTGGGCAGACCATAGGGCCAGCCCCACGCAGCTCTCCTCTGGCCTCCTGAGCACGGCAGGGGTCAGGGGCCGCCCTCCTGCACAGAGAGGTGCAGAAGACAGGGCTCTGCAAAGGCAAACCCACCCACCCAGGCTCCTACGTTCAAATCTTTGCTTTGCTGAGCTAAAAAAGTTTTCACTTTTCACTGAAACCAGGCCAGTGAAGGGAACGCTAAGGAAGGCCACCAAAGACCAGAACAACTTAGGAATAAGAAACTCTTAAGCCAAAGTAAAAAAGCTAAATGCTTTTGATCCCCAAAAATCACTGAGCTGGGACCATGGCTAGCCTTCCTGCAGCAACAAGTTAGAGCAGAGAACAAGATTTTCCTGACAAATAAATCTCCCAGTAACAAAAGATTTTAATTTTACAATTAACCTTTAAAAGGCTACGAAGAAGTTAGAAACACTGTTTGCTTTGCGTTGGCCCACCTCTGCTATCTGAGGCCAACACTGTTCCCAGCTCTTCAGGAGATGGTTAACAAGGACAGAAGGGCTGAGGCACAACAGCAGCAACCCACGAGTGTCTGGGACTATGCAGGTGAGAGCCAGTGCTCCCGGAAGGGCTGCCCTCAGGGGCTGGAATTGCTTTTTAAAATGTGGAACTCTCAAAAAATTGCATTAAAATAACAGCTAACTGCCAATGGTCTGAACTGACAGAATCATGGAATCATTTAGGTTGGAAAAGACCCTTAGGATCATCAAGTCCAACTGTAAACCAGATGATGCCCTCTGGGAAGGAGTGAGGCTCCTGTTCACTCCTGCAGCCTCTCACTCCACAGCAGGAGTGGCCTGGAATACCTCACACCCCTCACCTCCCGCAGGGCGACACCGTGGCGTAGGCATTGTTCATCTGGTTAGTGTTAATGCTGGCCAGGACTTCCCCCTTCGGGCTCCAGATCAGGATGGTAGTGTCACTGGAAGCTGTCATGATAAACTTTCCTGGGGGAGGGAGGAAAGGCAAAGATCAGGAGAGCTCCCAGGCCTAACACTGCCATAGACTCATTGAAGGCTTGGGAGGGTCCCTAAGTGGGGCAGCCTCCCCCCGCACCTGGACAGTCAAGAAAACCAAAAGCAGCACCGAAATTCAAGGAGTGCCAATCTCCCAGAACAGAGCAAAGAGCAGTATCAGAAGACTCGGCTCCTGTTAACACCTTAGTGCAACCTTGGCTTCAGCAGCCATCAGCTGGCGACGGGCACGCAGAGACCACGTGTGCTTCTTGCCCCAGCGCCCCTCAGATCTCATTTGCAGAGCTCAGCACTAAGCTGGTACCTTCCCCTGATGGTTAAAACACAGCTCAAGGTATCCGTAGCTTTCCAGTCATGGATTGCAGGCAGCTAGCTGACTACAAATCACACTACTGTTATCCATGATTACTGATTGTGACAGCATTTTGGACTCCTGCTTGTTTCCACTTGCGAGCTTTCCCCTTTTCCATCTCAGCCTGGACAGGGAGTTGGCTCTTTACCTTTTGGCTACTTGTTGCAGGTTTAAGTTTTCACTTTCACAGCTGAACAAGGGTCTCAGTTAACATTTTCTTTGCTCTATTACAGAGGTGAACTCACATTCACCCATTGCCAACTGCCCGCTGTCACATACCTGAAGCATTAATTCATCAAACCCTCACCACCGACACATGCTCTACCTCAGCCTCTGTTCTAGAAGATCCCAGGAGTCCAAGATAGATCATAGGAGCTCACTAGAGAGAACTTTGACTGGTTAAAGAGAGACTGGTGGGCCAGAGAACAGTGACCCTCTCAATACAGAGAGCAGACCTCCTTGCAACAGTATCCCTAACAATGTAAATTAGGAGACTATGCATATCAAGGAGCTAATTCTGTGCTTACAGGAACATTGTCTGTCTGAAAATTACATCTCTCAATTTACTCAGTAGTCAACAAAGGCTAAAAAGTAACATCTGGAAGACTACAGAGGATCAACTACTGGTGCAGAAACGGGCCTTGAGAACGCCAAAAACTCCAACACGTTCAACCCACCAGCTCCTGCTTTACACGGAAATCAAAACCAATCCCGAGACCCTCGGCAAGTGAGCAGCTCTGTCACTTCCATACCCGTCTCTGCAATTCCTATGTTAATGACAGGAGCCTTGTGCTTCTTTGGGAAGTCCCCCGAAGTTGCGGTGAAGGTGAAGCTGCCATCATCCTTCTTAGTCATTTTATAGACACGAATAGTCTCGCCATTCGCCAGCCAAACAATGAATGCCCTAAATGGAAGGACAGACACGCTGAACTGTTGAGAAACAGGCTACCTCAGCTCAGCCTGGCTACAACAGGTAAGCAAACAGGTCGCTCAGTGGCACCTTGGGAATGGGATACATTGGCAGATAAAGAGCTGTGTGTTTACGAGGGCACCAAGCTCTCTCCCTGTGTTAGCTCCACTGCAAGACTAAATGGAAAAGAACAGAATTTATTACTCCACATCGGAAAATTGGATCCCTTCCTCTCTCTTAAAGAGGCCACTCCACAAAAAGCCAAGGCATGCTTTTCAACCAGCCTTCCCAGCCAGCAAAAGCTCTCTCCCCAGCCCTCCAGAGAGGCTCAGCAGCTCAACCCAGCTGCTGGGTCTGCTGGCAAAGACCTTAACAAGCACTTCCCACTGGGACGGCAAGCTGGGCACTGCCATATTTGCTCTGAGCACCACATCAAA